TAAAAATTATTGCGGAATTAATTTTCTAAGAAATTTGTTTTTATTTTATTCAAAATTAAAATTAATTCAAGTGTTTTCTTATTATTTCAACATTGTTAGCACAATTTTTGTTTTCACAGTTGTTTTCGGCTGAAATTGTTAAAAAAATTATCTTTATTTACAAAACACAAAAAAAGTTTATCATAAGCTTTTCTCCCAGTAACTAAACACAATTTTTTAGGTTGTCTAAATGAAATTGAAAGATAAAACTTGGAGGAAATATGTCAACGTTATCGTCTTTATAACTTATTATTTTTGACATCTTTTGCGTGAATATTAGAAAACTTTTGAACTAGAATAAAATTAGTATATGTATTCTTATCAAAAAAAAAAAATAAATAAATAAAAAAAATAGCATAACGACATATATCCAGTAGCAATACATTATTTCAATTGCTTCTGGTTTTGTAATTAATTATAGTCACTTCATTTTAGTTAATATGATATATATGATTGTGTGACTTCATTGAATTTTTTGCTCATGGAAAGCAATTAACCCAAAAAATTTATTTATTCATATAATATATATATGTATTATTTTCTAATATATAATATATATGTATAGTGCTGTTATCGCAATTATTTAGAAATTATTGTTAAACTTTCTTAACTTTGAGAAACTAACGGAAATACAAACAAAAAAAAAACAACAACTGTTTAAATAATTAATAATATTGATCTAATTTTATAAATACACACATATTACATATTGTATATAAGAAATATTTCAGTAGTTCTCGATTGGTAACCTTGCAATTTTATTATGCTTAATATATGAATTTATTTGATTATTGGTAATTACTTCTTAGGTGTACATATACACTTACATACAAAAAAATATATATATCTCAATCTTAAGTATATCTTAATATCATAAAATCATATATTGTATTTAAAAATTTGTCAAAAGATAAAAATAAAAACCAACCAAGATAACCTAAATAATTAAAAACCAAGAAGAGAGTTCTCTTTGGTCTTATCTAAATTACTTTACCCTTCACCTATATAATTTTGTTATAAATCTAGGCACGATTTTCTGAGCATATCTATTTGACAACGGATTTTAATAAAGAAAACTATTTTGAACAAATTTTTCCTCTAAGCTATATGTATATCGATATAGTTTAATTTCAGTACATATTAATATTTTTCTTTTAAAATATTACATACATATGGTATATACCTGTAGGTACAAAGTGTTTTCGATATATTCGACATAAATGGTACAAATGATTCCTTGGTGCATATAGGTCATTATATTAATCAATCTCTTCAACCAATATCTTGGAGATTTTTACCCAAAAAAAAATGCAGTTAAAAGACCAAAAGATGTAGTGAAAATCTCAAAAGTAGAAAATCAGCATCGTACAAATATACCCAGTTTACAAGTATCCTCTGAAGAAAATAATCTCGATAGACTCCGGTTAGCTGGCCATAAAGCTCATTTGAAAGTAGAGAGTCTGCTTAAAACACGTTTTTTGATGTACATTGTCTATCTAACTGGTAGACAATGTCTGCGGTGAAGATTTGGCAAAGATGACCTGAACGTGGGGCCGCTCAATTAAATGGCATCCATCCATTATTTGGAATAGTCGACTTTTTAAAGGAGGTCAATATTAGACACTAGTTGTGGGGATTTTATCATATTCTTTAATGCACGTAAGTCCTATCCATCGTTTCATCATTAGAGGGATAGAACATAGAAATCGTTGGTTAAAAATACATATATATTTCTTTCTAAATTATTTTAATTTGTGAAAAATCGGGTGTAAGATGCATATGTGAGGACCGACTTTTGCTGGCAAAAGTAACATTTTTATTTTAGTACGCAGCTTAATATTGTAGTTAGATTAGTGTACGTTGTACACTGTTGTCTAGTGTTCTGCACATATCACGAAGACCCCCAGGTACATCGCTTATTTAGTCATTTGCAAGATTATCACAGAGGCATACATTTTAAATTTATTAAAAACGTATGTATAATAGTTTTGTTTTTAAAAGGACATATTGGTCAATAATTAAATAAAACTCATTTAATTCATTTAATCATTTTTCCAAAAAATTTAATGTAAACCAATATTTTGACTATATTCTATAGTCATCTTCAGGGTACTATAATCTTCTATTTTGGTCATTAAAACAATAAATTAGTAGAACGTTTGTATTAAATCTGAATATAGAATTCTTAATAACTTATTGCTTTAAAATTATTTATTAAGTATTAAACATTTATAAACTGAATTAATTATTCGTAATTAATACTGACTACACATCAATTACTTTTAATTGATGTGTTTGAAATCATATCAATTGATTAAAACTACGTTTTTGAATTGAAAAGGGAAATTAATTAGAATAATTAAATTAGAATTTTTTTAAATATAAAAATTTTATTTCTATAAAGTAGTAAAATTATTAAAATTCAAAAACTTTTACAGCAGATTTCTTAACATAAACAGATTTATAATAGAATATATCACTCTACATATTAATTAATATTTAATATATGAATAATTATAATGATATTTTCAAACTCACTTAGTACTTTAACTTCTCCTTACCTTTCTATGCTGATTGTGCAGAGGTAAATCTCATTACTTGATCTTAGAGACTTGATCTGAGTAATATATCGATAAGTATTTTTTTCATTTTTCCTACAACTTCGATAACATAAGTAATTATTGCCAATAGCTATAGAAGTGATATAAATCAAACAATTGATTTATTCTGTTCTAATTGTGGTTGAATTATACTACCCATCCAAGAATCTTCGTTTATTATATTTTGTATTATTTTGTTTTCGTAGAATTCAGAACAGTCAATTAAAAAAAAACAGGTTGTTTTTTCTGTAAAAAATATTTTTACCTTTTTAGTCTCATCTACGCTATCTATGAGGTTTAACCGTATATTGGTATAAATAGATTGGTATAAATTAGATTATTTTTATTATTATTATTAAGATGTTTTAGCATTACATTAATTAGAGGTAAATTAAGAACTTAGTCTATTTACATAGAATTTCCACAAATCCCGATTTCTAGCTATATCTTCTAACTCATTAAATGTTTTATTCGTTTCCTTATTAACGCTTCTACGCCATGTCATCTTGTGGAGTTCTCTGTTTCTTGTACCTTAGGGGTTCTATTGTAGGGTTACATGTACTATTTCGTTTGCATTCTTCCGAAGAGTATGTCCAATCCACTTGTATTTCTTGCGCACTATATCTTTCACAAGAGGGATTTGTTTAGATATTTGCCAAAAACGAGTATTAGTAAAATGATGTTATATTCCATTATAATTTATCAAAATCGGTGGAATAAATTGCAAGTACATAGGTTCAATAGAAATATATATACATATATTGCAAATTGTTAACAGACACGTGAAATACCGAATGTCAAAAAAAATTTCTAATCAAATAAAGTTTTAACAGTTTTTTTTTTAAGTACGCCTGCAGAGGTGGGGAACCCCAATATATATGAGTCATAGGTTATAATCAAATGATAGTAGTATCGAATGCTCAATAACTTTTTATCAAACAGGTAAGAATATAAGCAACAGAAATCGAATGGTTTGTTTTGGTTTGGTTTGAGCTTAAATTCTTTTTATATACACAATTTTATTACCAGAATATAATAATTTCAATATATTTTAAATAAATTTTGCAAATTTGAAACGATAAGGAGTTTTTTCTAAATATTTTTTCTACAATGTTGTAAGTATATCTTAAAAATAAAATAATAATTTTGCTCGGGTCATTAACTTTAATAAGTGCACTGCACTGTTATCACTACACGTCCCAGAACTATATGACTTCCAATACCTTTTGTAGCCCGAACCGCCATTACATGATTATAAAAATAATATTAGTAAATGGGATTTACCTGAACAGAGTTCATATGATATCATTCTTTTTTCTTAAATTATTAGTTTCTGATATTTGAATATTTTTTATAGTGAGCGCTTCATGATAAAATTCACATATGTAATCCTTCCTGATGAGCGTTCAAATATTTCACAGATATAAAAATAAATACCGTACGGCTATCACTAAACCCATTTATGTTATTGAAGAATCTAAAGAGGTTTTATATCTTTTTTGCACATCAATAAAATAAGAAACCCAATAGAAACCTGTAAATGTATAACCAAAAATAACCATTCAAATAAAGCCGAAAAAATATTAAAATATATTTAGTATATGTATATCAGAATATAGTAAGATATATAGTAACAATATATAAACTATAGTACACAATAAAAATAGAATATAGTAGGAAAACAAAATGATATATCATGTCATTTTGTAATCAACTCAGCAGTTATTATTAAGATATCCCAAGTTTGTCTTTCTGCTTTAAGATTTTTTTGCTTACTATAATTTGCTTACTATAAAAATTTTATTAAATTTTAATTTTATTGAAAAACTACGTAATTTTTGCATAAATTAAAATTTTTTTTTTTAGTCAAGCAGAAGTTGAGTCAGCTAGTATTTTTACGGCAGTAGTGTTTAGTGTAAGTCATGGTTAAGTTTATAGATTCTAGAATACAACAAACTGAATTATACATATAAAAATGAATTATTTAAAAAATTTTTACTGCTATACGTAAAGTTAACTTTAGAATAAATTTTATATATTTTTAAGTGATACACTTTACATCAATGCTTATAAGGACGCTAGAATCCTTAATATCGTTAACTGAAAGACATTAAAGAAAGAAAAGCAGGTCGGTAAAAAAACAAGTCTTAAAGAAAACAGATCAGAAAGAAAACAAGTTAGAAAGAAATAAGTTAGAAAGAAAACAAGTTAGAAAGAAATGTCTTAAAGAATGCAGCTCTTAAAGAAGGTAGTCTTTGAAGATTGTAAGTCTTAAGGAAGGTAGTGTTTGAAGAGTGCAAGTCTTGAAGAAGATAGTCTTTGAAGAGTACAAGTCTTAAAGAAGGTAGCCTTTGAAAAATTTTAGTAAATGTAGTTAAGATAGCACGCTGTAATATAATATTTTATGAGAAAAAGAATTCAAGTCTTTTTGTTTTTATATATAGAAAAATGAAGTTTTGTTAATTTTATCCCAATAAATTTTTCATATTTTTTTTTTAATTTTTAACGTCAATTTTAACGAAAGGAACTAATATATGTTAATATATGTTAAACTATTGTTTTCAATAGAGATATTTATTATTTTAATTAGTTGAATTTTCGACTGACTTTACAGCTGTTTCAAGTATTGCTAAATACCCATCATCAGTGGTCTTGGAATTATTTCTAATATCTATTTATTCGTAAATAATTTTTTGAGTTCAACCCTACAAGTACCAAGGGTTGAACTCGTACCCGTAATTT